TTTCACTGCTTACTGGCTCAGGCGCCTGCTGAGCATCAGCTGCTTCAGGGCTTCTGTCGCCAACTAGGCTTCAGAGGGCTGGAAACCGGGTGGGGAATGGATTAATTTGAGCCCAGAAGGGTTCTGGTTGCACTGATTTTTGTCCACTTGTAGCACGCGTTCGGCTTTATCTTTCCATAGCTCGGTAGAAATCCTGTCCCCTCCCCATCTTCTGTTTTTTTATTTTCTTTTTTTGTTTCCACTAGCTGAAATAGGATCTTTCTTATTTCAGGTTCTTCTGCGTGGCTGACCAAGTGAAGGTTTACACCAACCAGAACAAAACCAGGTGAGCGAGCAGTGGGGCAGCCTGCCTGCCTGCCTGGGGAGGAGGCTGGGCAAGATGCTGGGTGGATGGGAAGCGTCGCCCTGCCTGTCCCGTGGTGACCGGGCCGAGCCGTGTGACGGGGCAGTATGTGATCACCTTGTCTCCAGAGGTTTCACACCTTTCCCCAGCCACTTGCACAAATTTTGAGCATCAGCACCGGTTCTCTGCAAGCCGTTGGTCTCGTTAGTGGTGGGTGAACCTCAGGCTGCAGGACTTCAGTCTTCTGAAGAGAACTGTTCACAACATGACCTGAGGCAGGCCTTTCGGCTGGGGTTAGATTCGTGCTATGGTTTCACAGCAGCTAAAGGAGGCAGCCGCGTTCACTGCCATCTCCCATCTGGTTTGTTCTGCGGCTTCGCAAACCTCGTGCCAGCATGAGCAGCCTGAGGCGAGCAGAGCCGGGGGCCACCTCTTTTGGCAGCAGTGCCGGTCGTGAAATTGTAGTGCAGGTCTTCCAAGAATTGGAGAGAAACAGCTTAGATGGTGCTAATTCTCCTGGGTGTCAGCTCAGAAGCCTGATTCCAATTGAACGCAATTAAGTAGTTTAAATGTCAAAGCAAAGGTGGTTAAAATTGTGAAAAGTTGCTGAATCTAGTGGGAATGGCAGCCCACGATAGTCATGGGTGGGATGAAGCGGATCCTGGGGGAGACTTAGTCTTCCCCTCCCCTCCTGGAGTCTAGAAAATGTCATCCAGACAGTCCTTGAGGAGGTACCTCTTTGTCACGTCTCTCCAGCTTGGTACTTCCCGTTCCCCACTTCCTCTCCCATGGTAAAACCACTCCGGCAAGTTCTGCTTTTTGAATGCAGCTCCCGCACAGCACGGCACTCTGCTGACATACCCATTGAGTGCATCCTCTGCCTGGAAAATGAGTTTTCATGTCCCAAAAGGTGCCGAGTTAATCTAGTAGATCTACGTGGTATATCATCCAGTCCTGCTTCTCCCTGCTACCACGCCTTTATTTCTGTTTTTCTTTGGAATACGGTCCTTGAATGCTTAAACCTGGCATTTCTCAAATTATCTTTTGTTAGGGGGTAGGGAATTTGCCCGGTAGGAATGCAGGGCTAAGTATGCTTACGGCTGTGCTTTCTGCAGCACGAAAGGGTGCTTGCTGTCTCTCCTTGTCCTTCTTTAGGACCTTTATTGGCTTGGAGGTCTCCGCTGGGCATTTCCAGCTGCTGGAGCTGGTCTCGGAGGTGGACAGAGTTCTGGAGGAATTTGACCTTCCCACGTTCTACAAGGTGAGGGGTCTCCCACTTAATTCCCTGCCAGTCCAGAGATGCCAGCTGGTTCCTTGCAAGAGGTCCATGAAATGTTCACCCCAAATAAACCGGAGCAGGGAGGTTAGACTCTGAAATGGTCTCCTCTGGGCCAGTTGGTGATGCTCATATTTAACACCCTGAACATGATGTTGCTGAGAATGGGACTAGCGCAAGTCTGTGACTTCTGTTTCGCATCCTGTGCAGGAGAGTAAGGATGTTAACTATCTGGTGGCCTCTTGAGAATTGGGTTTCCAGGGTGATGGGCCAGACCATACGTCACCGTTGCTGCCCCGCTGTGCGTGGAAGCAGGATTGTCCTACGATAGAATGGGCTTAGGGTGAGCACTGTGGGACTGAGAGCGATGCTTGTGCCTCTTCCTTGGGCAGTTGCCTGGGGCATCAGTCCAGCCTCTTTGCTTGGTACTAGCTTTGGGGACAGGTTTTGGATTTTGAAAGGCCAAACCCTGATTTCTCTGTCTCCAGAGCTGAGCAGGGGGCTCCTGTGGGTTATTCAGAAGTGACCCACCTACCCGCTCCAGGACTGTCCATGAGAGGTTTTCTGTGCAGCTGGAGAACCTTCTGCAGAGTTGACCACAGGGAGGCTGGGAACCAGGCAGCCTTGCCCACTGGTGTCCAAAAAGGCTGGGGTGGGGACCCCAGGACTCATCTCGCCTCCAGCACTGTCCGTATCAGCTCTGCAACTTTGAGCTGGCAGAGGGGGCTCCCAGCTTCGGGATCCTCCTACCTCTGCGATCCCAGGCAGGGCAGCATCACACCAGATCTCCCACTGCGGCTCCATGCGTTGAGCAAAGCCTCCTTTAGCCCTCACAATCTGATCCCTGTTCTGTCTTCAGGACCCGTCATTCCATATCAGCTTGGCCTGGTGCGTTGGGGATCTGTCTGGCAGGCTGGAAGGGCAGTGTCTGCAGGAGCTCCAGGTGCGTCCCCACGCAGCGTGGAGAGCAGGGGAAGAGCAGAGCTGGTGTCCAGCCACATCTCCCTGCTGAGGGCGGAGAGCGGGAAATTCTCTTCACTGAGCAAGACAAACTTCACTGGGTTGAAAGAAGAGAAGCTTTTGGGGGGAGCGTGAGTTAAGTCACCCTCCAGAGGGAAGTCAGAGGCTTCCAGCCACAAACGGCCTCGTCTCTGACTTGGTTCGGAGAGGGAGCTGCTGCCTCCTTCCTCTGGCAGATCCACCCTCCTGGTACTGACTCCCGTATCTGTTTTCCAGGACATTGTGGACGGGTTTGAGGACTCGGCGCTCCTGCTGCGTGTCCAATGGGAGCAAATTCGCTGCAAGTCGGGGAACAAGTATTTCTCCTTCCCCTTGAGGTAGGGGCCGGTGGGGCTGTGCATTTCAGAGCCTCGAAGACCCTGATGTTCAACCAAGGACCGTTCTCCAGTGCAGCTCTGAGTGGCGCGGGCTGTCACACACCTCCCACGCTCTTCTTGCCTGCTCAGCATCTCTGGGGTGTTTGTGGCCTCAAGTCAGGCTACTTCCAAGTTTGAGTTGCTGGCTGAAGAACTGTGTGTTTGTAGCAGATTCCGTCCTCGCTGCTGTATGTGCTGCAGTCAGCACTGGTGGTTCCAGCCATCCCACGGTCGCTAATTTTGCTGATTTTTTAAAAAAGAAAAAAAAAATCTCTATAAAAGCCATAGATGCCTTATGGGAAGGAGGAAGAAGGTAGCGTGGGAAGCTGTTTCTAAAGGGAGAGTGTCTCGCACGCTTGGAAGTAGCACTGCCTGATTGTCAGGAGCCTCTGAGCATGCTTTGAGTAGCAAGAGGTGAGGACATGGAGCTGGACTCTCTCGCCAGAGCATCTCCCTACTGTAAGCCAGCTCGGACAAGTTCCTGGGTCATGCTTTGTGTCCCTCTCACACTGCTGTTGCCTCTATAGAAAAATTTCAGTATCAGATCCTTTTGCCAAACAGCAAAAGATGAAATCTGGAGGGGAGAGGTTGGAAACCCCTTGTGTTTCAGTGCTCCAGGCTGGGTCTAAAAGAAGAGCTTTGGTTGACGATTGTGTGTGCCATAAGCCCAGGACTTTTTTGGTGGGCTGCTTTTCCTGAGAAGCTTGCTGCCGTGTGTGGGCAAGCCCAAAAGAGGGCAGTGTCAGGTTTTGCCTGAGCTGGAAGGGCAGTGCCCACGGATGAGTCAAGGGGTGGCAGCTCCTGCCCAGGCTCCATGCTTTTTCCCCGTGGGAACAGCACCCTCGGTGCCGTGATGACCCTGGGGACGGCGGGCTGAACTTTGTCCCTTGGGAGAAGCTCTTTTTTAATCCTTTTGTTCCTGTGGGGAGGTTGGCTGCAGCCTCTCAGGTATTCAGAGCAGGATGCCGATGTGCTGCCCTGAATCTTTCATTCCACATCTGTCTGATGAAAGACTCTGGGACTTCTGAGCAGTAAAAATCTGTCTCCTCGTGTCATAAAATTGTTTCCATGGTATGTTTCAGCCGTTCCCTTTCAGACATGCCCAGCTCCCGCGGACTTCGGATGAGGCAATGCGTGCAAGCGCTTCTGTGAGCTCGGTGCTGCCTGTCCTTGCACAGGAGGGAGCCTGGGGGCTGCGTGGCCGTGGGAGCATCTCGGCACAGGTCACGATGTCTGCCAACACCCGTGCGATAGCTGGTTTTCAAAATCCTTAACAAAATTCTGTTGAGTCTGTAGCCAGTTAGTTTCTGGGATGGGGATCTGCGTGATAAGGCGTGTGGTTACACCCCGAGTTTTCTTTTGGGGAAGGAAAAACAAACAAAGAGAGATATATTTAGCCCCTGGGGACTTCCAGTGAAACTGGCTCCGGTGTGACCGGTTTCGCCGTGGTCCGAGTCCAGCAGTGCCAGGTTAATGCTCAACCACCGGCCCCGCTCCCTCCCCGGCGGGGCCCGGCTTGGCACATCGCCCTGTTTCGTAACTCCGGCGGGCGTCAGGGTCCCCGCTCCCGG